ATATACATGTAACTATTTTAAATTATTAATAAAGATATAAGCAAGGCCTCACCTTAATATCAAAAAAAAAAAAAAAAAATTAAAATACAGGTTTTATGCAAGATAAAAACTTGTTAGAAAGAACCTTGTTCTATATTTGTAAAGGCCCTGCATAACATTAAATTTGAGACTTTCCTATTACGTATGTATATACTTACATGCATGCGCATTATCATCTTAATCTCAACTAAACTGTTCAGACTTATATGATTTTAGAGATTTTTTGTTGTTCAAACAATGAAAAATCCCTGAAATTGTATAAGTCTGAATACTCTAATCTCAGCATCACTGACAATATAGTATAAATACAAGTTTCATACAGGATAAATGCTTGCAGCTAAAAAAAACCTGTCTTTTGTTCCATATTCATAAAAAATATTAATTTGAACTTGAAACTATTATAATTGCATATGTTGCGTGCATTTATCATTATCTTTATCTCTATATCACTAACAATAAAGCTTCAATGAAGTTCAAAATTCATCAGTTATTTTATTCTAAAAAGTAGAACCCATGGCATAACAATATCAGAATCATTTGTAATAAAAGGTGTTGGAACATTCATTATATTTTTACAATATATATAAGAATTTATCATTGTTCTGCATTTACTTTACTGAATCATATATGCACATCCAAGTTCAAAAAGGAAGTCAAATAATTATTCTAAGAGGCCAACATTGATGGCTTGATATTTTTTTTTTAATACGTAGTAAGTAATTGTTTTTTAGTATTTAAATAAGCCAATGTATAAGTCTTTTTTTACCTCAATGTACACTTTTTTGTTCAATTAATACACAAACTTTCATGTGTATTTCAATAAGTTTTGGTTTTTTTTTCTTTAATTTGGATAGTTCAACAAATATTTTTGTTAAAATTTAATTCAAATGGCCATGCCACCATTACCAACTATTCTTGAAAAATATATTATTAAAACCAATGAAAAAATAAATAAACACAACACAAAAGTGTATTGTAAATCATGCATAAATGAATTAGGTCAAACTGAAGGTTTAAAAAATTTTTTTCCAATAAGACAGATCAGATAATTTCACACTTAAAAAAATGCCCACACTTTGTTAAGAAAATAACAGCTGAAGTAAGAGAAGAAATTTTTAAATTAGTTGATACTTCTAAGCAAGATAAATTTATAGGATAGTGCACATTTTGCCAACGATCAATTCACCAACAGCTTAGTTTACCAACAATTAATTCACAGACAAGTTTATTTCATATACAATTATTTTACTAATAACATTTCACTAACAAAATAATTCTGGTTATTGTTGTTAGTATCAGGTTAGAATTAGAGTTAAAGTTAGTTTAATTTATAAAAAATACATGTCAGTAAAATGAGCTGTCAGTGAAATGAACTTGTCTATAAATTAATAGTTGGTGAACAAAGCTGTCTATAAAGTGATTGTTAGTGAAATAATACATATCAAATTTATATTTTTTTATTTATTTTATTTATTTATTATTTACAAATTATACTTTTACAGAAACCAATGAAACATCCTCAAGTTCTTCAGCTTCAAAAATTACTCAAACATCTTCTTTTGGGCCAATAGATAATTATATAGTAAAAGCTTTGTCAGTAAAGGATACAAAAAAGTTTCATTGGCTTCTTTTATGCCTTACAATTTCATGTGGATGGGCATTGCACTGGGTGAATAAACCTGAAGCAGCTAAATTATTTGAATTTCTTAATCTGCTTCTTAAGCTTCCTGATCGATGTATACTTGAGGAACGAATTTTAAATGAAGCAGTTGGTGAATCTAATAAAGCAATGTTAAATATGTTAAAAGAAGATCAAGTTGGCATTACACTAAACTTTGATGGTTGGACCAATATTTGAAATAAACATTTGCTAGGAGTAGTAATAATTACATCTGAGGGTAGACCACATGTTTGGAAAGCATTAAATATAAGTTTAGAACATAAGACTCATTTAGAGGTAATTGAAAAAATTAATAGAATGCTCAATAAATTAAATTCACAATCAATAAAAGTTATTTCTATTGTAACAGATAGTGAAGGTGCCTACACAGCTGCTAGGTATATTTATTTTTTACTTTGATGAAATAAAAAAAATAATTAATTTATTTTTTTATAGGCGCTGTTTAAGAATTGCAAAAAGATTAATCATGTTCTTACCTTGTTTTGCACATCAAATAAATTTGTGCATTGGCAAAATTTTTAAAGAATCAACTGACTTTAAAAGAACAATCAATCAGGCAATTTGTCTTGCAACATATTTTTTTTTTTTTTTAAATATTAAGGTAAGTACTTGCAACTCAGGATTTTATTGATAGTATATTCAGCTAATGGTTGCATTACAACCACAGGGGGCAACCATGAAAAGAGTATACAACTAGCCACTTGTACAACTTTAGTCATTGTCTAATTTAAGTAGTCCGCCTGAAGGTTCTATACTAGCTGCCAT